TATATAGAGAGAGAGAGAGAGAGAGAGAGAGATGTATAGATATGTATGTGTGTGTGTGTGTGTTTAGATATAGTTTAAACTGATATAGTTCTGATATGTATATGATATACATTACAACTCAGCACAGACTCTTTGCATTCTGATCATTGTAGATTGAACTGCATTCAGTTTTAATGGAACAGACTCTGTCAAAATGTGGAGAAGTGCTCTCGAATATTAAGTCTAGTCTATAGAGGCACCGACCAGTGCGATGATTCTCGATATTGCTTCCAGAAGCTCGAGTGTATAACGTTATATAAGATTGATAACAAGATAGACTGCGCTGGTGTTTAGCGGAAATGGAATGCTCATGTTCAATCACACGCTTTCATTCCCCGCGGCAAATCCAATGATATTGACGTCGCTACTTTTCCCCGAAAGGCGACAGTGTTGGCTACTTTTAGCAGGTAATATGTCACCGGGCCGCTCTCATGGCATCAGCAAGAGCCGGATGAAACGGCTGGAACCGTCGTGTCAAGTTTAAAAGCACCCAGGGTGTTAGATAAGGCGTACGGAGCTTACACGAGGTCTGACCGCATCACATTTGTACGCAGTTCGCGTGTCATCTGCATCCCTTCCGACAGTCGAGAAGATAGCAGCTCCGGCGCCCTTGGCATTGCCGTGAAGGAATCCGTAACAACTAAGAATAGACGGGTGTCAAGACGAAGGCCTTTCACAACTTGTTGATATTCTGAACGCTGTCTTCTGAAGTCGACTGAGTGGTTCCCATTACTTTTTTTATTTAGTCGACAAGGTTTGGGGCACGTAAGTGGCTTAGATAGAGGGTATGCACATTTTGCAGATTATAACTTGGCTTTTGTAATCATTTGTGCGTGTAGCTTTGTGAATGAGGGTATCTTTTAACGGGTTCTCCCAATGCAAGGCCAAGAGACCACTTTTTGGCACTGAACTAAGTTGGTGGGAGATATGAGTAACTATGTTAGGAGATGGTGGTGAATGTTGATTTTGAAGACTTGTGATTGTATCTGAGAGCTACAGGGGAACTTTTGTCCGGGAGAGAGTTACATAATTGTGCAGTCTGTGGAATTTAGAAGCTGTTGCTGTAGAAAAACTTCAGAGAGACTGACATTTGGGCAGTTTTTGCCAGCTACGCCCCCCTGAGAATGCCCTTGAAGTAAAGCAGTAACTACTTTGTCTGAATTCCCAAAT